CTTTTCCTATTTCAGTGGCTCTAGGTAAAGAAAAAAACTTGTGATTTTTTTGTTTAGTAACTTGCTTTGAATGACCACACTTCACTGTTAACCTGTGACCGGAATTCCAGTCCCCTTCTTAAAACTCTTCCCAGAGTTTAAGTGTTTCAGCCTCTTCAAAGGCTTCAGGAGAAACTCTAAAGAAAGCAGCTAGACAAACCCTTGATAAAAAAAAAATCTGCTCGTGGTGTCAGCTGTGAATAATGCATGGTGATTTCTATGTTTTAGTGTCAGCCATCTGGGCACCTGTGCCCCAGGCAAGTCACCAACCTCCACAGAGCACCTTTCCCATGAATTCATACTCCCTTCCTTTATGTGTGTCTTACAAAAAACAAATAAAACTGTACATGCTCCTTTATTTTCATATGAGATTTTTCTTACGCAGTAATAAATATTTGTGTGTGTGTGTGCATGTGTATGTGCGTATGTGTGTGTGTGTGAATAATGGAGCCAAATAAACAGAATACAATTCATTTGGAAACAAGGTTTTGCTATATAGCCTTCTTTACAGTTCGCATTATACACGAAATTTTGTCCATGCCCTGAAAGCCTAGAATCTGATTGAACAAATAAGGCACACATATAGGTCTGTTGGCTGATTTTTCAAAGTTCTTGATCAACAGACACAAATTCAGCAGTCTGCCTCAGATTCTGAATCCATACGACAGCTCACTAATTGTACTTCGGGCCAAGGTGTAAACTTTCTGTACACTCAGCAGGAAGATGACAGGTAAGGACCAGATGTCACAGATGGTGAAGTGTGGGTACATAGGGATTTCTTGCATTTTCGCTGGAGATGACTGGGGGAAACCGTCTGGGGGAGAACCTCTTTGGCAGAAGTATAGCACGATGATGTCTCCTACAAATTAGTAGAAGTTTTCCAGGTTTTTGGAATTTGGAGACCTTGAAAATACTTCTGCTGTAAACATCAAACTGACAGCTTAAAAAAGGGGTAACCACAGAATATATTAGCAAAAAGAAGAAAGGCTTTCATTCTGCTTCCAAGTTTTTCAAGTAAAAGTGCCAAAAACCACGTGGCTCCTAACTAAAATCACTTCTAGACAAATACTGTGACTTATAAATGAAAACACAGAAACGTGTATCTCTGAAAGTATTAAATGAGTACATATGTAAGGAGAACACGTTACCTATGGGAGAGGATGTCCTCAAGTTGGCGAGAGTCATCATGTTCTCTGCAGGCTCGATGGCGTCTATGGATTTTGGCAGATGTCACTGGGAGTGTCAACTGCCAAGTTGACAACTTTTATATTCCTCTGGGAAACACTGTTTGGTAAAGTTACCAGTTGAGACTGAAAAAGGTTATTAACTCTGTGTTTGCATATTGAGCACGTTAGAGAAAATTAGCATTTGGGACAAGGATGGTGTTTCTGAATGATTTTGTCAATTGGGGTAGCATTAAACCAAGTTCAGAAAAGATAAAGGCTAAAGAGGTGAGATGAAACCCACTTAAGCCACAAAGTGACATATTCTTTGCAGCTAAAACTCAAACCCTTATGAGAATGTCTATCACTCGACTGTAGGGCAGTTTTTAAACATGATACTAAGGGCCAGGGCATCTGACTATCAGAGCAGCTACCGTGTTTCAGCAAAACAGCTTCAGAAATGCAGGAACAGTCCTTGTTTTCCAATAATAGCAATAGCAATAGTAATAATAATACTAATAATAGCCACTACTGCTCATTGGATGATGCCTGTGCTCCCGGTTTCTCTGGGTGTTATCTCCATCTGCATAGCGCTCCATATGAGGTAGCATGTATTACTTTCTTCAACTTACAGAAGAGGAATCTGTGGCATTAAAGTCTCAATAATGACCCGAGGAAGCCATTGATTTCCATGTAGATGCAGAGACACCTGGAGTGACCAATGCTTGATTCATCATGTGTGCAAAAGTTGGGGTCATATGCTTTAGGTGCTCATTAAATATCAAAACAATATGTTTATGAGTATTCAATGTAGTTGATTTTCTCCCCAAACCATTTTTATACCTCATGCCAGGTTTCAGGCAAGATCATGCTCAGATGGGGGACAAAGGTGGCTGGCCAAGCAGGCCTCCGACCAAGGGGATCAGTATCCTGTGGGCTGGAAAATCCTTCAGAATCAGCCTGTCTAGTTAATAGCTACTGCTTTTCAGATTGGGGAAATTTTAGGGTAAAACAGCCCTTGTAAAGACAATGCCACTGACTATTGCTGTGCAGACCTGTGTAAGCCCAGTGTGAAAACACAGCTCCAGAAAGGTGGCTTTGCTTGGGCAATACTAGTTTTGAAAATTAGTGGCCTGTTTCCTGAGTTCTGATGTGTGAATCAGGACGGTGGTTCTCTCCTCCGACTGCCCACCTGAGAACCACCTGACAGCTTTCCCAAGCTCACAGCTTTCCCTGGCTCACAGGCCAGGATCAAGTCAGAATCTCTGCACGTGGAGACCAAGTGCTTTGATTTAATGAAAAGATCCCAGGTGCCTGTAACCTGCAGCCACAGGGAGCACCCCTTCTAGGTACGATGTAGACAACGGAAACCCCTGGAGCCTATGTGTTCATAGACGAAGAAGTGGGATCCAGGTCTTAGAATCTCTAAAAATCAAACAGCCAAATTGGCACACAGAGTGGCAGAGGAAGCAGGAGGTGGATCAGGTATGATCACGCATCTCCTAGCCAGGCATCTAAGACAGCGATTTTGAAGACATCTAGACAGTTGTTAGTATGGAAAACCTACAAAGAAAATGACAAAATATTTAGAGTAAACTGAGGATTCATGTGGTGACACAGTGTTGCGTAAAATTCAGGAGGGCTTTTGACCTCTTAATTAGGTCCCAAGAACAAGTTGTACCAGAGAGAGCGAGAGAGAAGGAGAGACAGAGGGACAGAGATGACACCACCTAGGAACATCACAGTGCTAGCCCTGACCCTAACTTGGAAAATAGGGGCAGACTGACATCAGGCTTCTACAAAACACAAAGCACCTCCTGGCAGTAGTCACTGATTTGCTGATAATTTAAGTTCCTGTTATCTTCTCTTGCCCTAGTGTGGGGCACGCTGTTTGAGGTTCCGATGTCCAGGCTTCTCCAGGGCTCCAGAGCACACAGATGGTCTAAGTTTCTGGGTGTCTTCACAAGATTTGACTGCTTTGTGGCTTCATAAAAAGGTAGTGGTTTGCAGTGTATTTGTCATTCTCAGCAAATTTGTGAAGACACCTGAGCTCAGAACGTAAGCTTACTGTATCTCAAAAAAGGGAGACCTGGTTGATTAACACAGAGAACCAAGGTTTGCTTAATTGCCATCAGCAGACTTTTCCATCATGTAAAACCAATTCAAGCCCAGAAGGCTGGTGCACCGTGGAAGTCAAGTTTTTCCCTCTCTGTCCTCCTGATGGAAATGCCAGTTCTGAACGGTCCTCCCTACGGATCAGATCACCTACTTCAGGTCCCCAGGATTCCCACAGTGCTGAAGCGGGGCTCCTCCACTGCTGGATAATCGAGAGATGAGGGACTCAGACACGCTGTCGTCTCCAAGCTAGAACCAGATATCTCTAGATCTTATCTAGAGAACGAGAAAAAGGGAGATTATGAGGAGAGAAGGGAAACAGTATACTCTCTCCCCAGGGGCCATGAAAAGCAACAAACAAATCCGAGGCGAAAACAAGACTTCTTCAAAATATACAGAGCAGGTGCGCATCTGACCCCTATGCCCATTCTTGGAAAGACTCAGGATTTCCCAGAGCCCAGTCAGAGCTGACACTTCTCACCAGGTTCTATATGGGCAGGACACTGGTCTGCATTAATTCTGTTTCTACTCAGTCCGTGCAAGTGGGCACGTGTGGGCCTGGCACACGTGACAGTCCCACAAAATTGTTATGTTCTCATGTCGCCCGCGCATGATTCCTGAGCCTTAAAGGACTCCCTCGGCTGGGCTGAGCTCAGGGGTGCGCCCTGTGGACAGGATGCTAGGATAGGTTCCTTCTGTCTGCAGAAGGACAGGACCCAGCAGTGCTGCGGGTCTGAGGAGCGAGCGCTCCAAGTTCCCCGCTCGGAAGCTCGGGCTCGCCAACACCGGGTTCCGGAGACCCGACCCTGCTCCGGCCTCCAGCCGCCCGGGGGCGGGACCCCGCGCAGCTCCGAGCCGCCCTCCCATTGGCCGGCGCGCACGCCCGTCCGCGAGCGCGGCTTCGAAAGTTTCATTGAAGGAGAAGTGCGCGCCCGCCGGGAGCCCGGGCTGCGCCGCCAGGGCGAGGCTGCGCTACGTGGGGCGGGGGCGCGCTGGCCGCCGGGAGGCGTTCGGTTTTCATTTTATTCGTTTAAGTCGAGGCTGCCGAGGAGCCAGTGGAGCCTGAGCCTCTCGCGCGCTTTCGTCTCGACTTCTGCCCCCACTTGCGTCCCACAGAGGACCCGTCAGCGAGCCCCGCGCTGTCGGGGATGGTTCCTTGCGCCGGGCCGCTCGCGCCCAGCTCTCTCCAGCCCGAAGCCCGGGGGCGCAGAGGCTGAGTCGCGCGCCGCTGGGGGAGCCGCCGCGGGGCCGCTCGGGGCCGGGGCCGCTCGGGGCCGGGGCCGCTCTGGGAGCCCAGGCCGAGGGCCGGGCCGGGCCGGGCCAGCAGCCCAGGCAACTCGCTTCGGAGGAGGCTTGGTGGAGAAGACTGTCTGCCACCCCCGAGCGACAACCTAGGAGCCGACAGAAGGACAGCACGCCCTTCTCAGCCCCTTTCCTCGCCGCACCGCCTCGCGGGACCCTCCTGAAGTGCCCCGTATCCCGCCCCGCTCCGGCCTCCGCCACCCGCTGCAGAAGCCCCCGGCGCCGGATCGCGGAGTCCACACCGGATGGGCCGGCCGTGCGGGGTCGGGCGCCCGGCGAGTGGGCTTCCTAAGGCCTGCTGAGCGGCGGCCGGGAGAGCGGAGAGGGGCGGCCGGGAGTGGAGAACGCGCCCTCGGGGCGCACAGCGCGGCGGCTCTCGCAGAGACGATGCCCGGGCGGCTGGGAGCCGCCGGCCGCAGGTCTTAGGCGGGCATGGGCTTGGCAGCCCAGTCCTAGCGACCCTCTGCGCCGACTCGCTGGACGGACGCGATGGCCTCGGAAGTGGTGTGCGGGCTCATCTTCAGGCTGCTGCTCCCCGTCTGCCTGGCAGTAGGTGAGTGTTTTCCGCTCTCCGAGATTCCAGGGTGAGGGGGCGGGCTTCGGAGCAAACCCGGGTCACTGGCTCGAATGCCCGGAACCCGGTTCGGAGAACCCGCGCCGCAGTCCCGGTGCCACAGCAGGGCACTGGCACTTTCCGCATCGGAGCGCACGAGCGGGGTCTCCACGAGCGGGGTGTCTCTCAACGGTCCAGCTGCAGAGTCCGGGCGACCGGGCCCGGCCTGTGCTGGAGACTGTTGAATGTAGTTACACGTGGAATTTTTTTGTGGAGTACTGACTCGTGCACAAAGGATGCGAATCTGGCTGGAAGGCAGTTGTAGACCCCCTTCCCAGGATCGTACAAGAGTCCCCCTCCGCCTGTCCCTAGACGCAGGGAGCACGGTGAACCAGACAGTTCCTAGGCCACCTCTCCCCTATCCAATATCCCAGCCATTGTGACGGAAGAAGGGAAGGACTCAGGTCGTTCTAAAAAGAACAGGAGGGCGCCAGGAAGCAGTGCCCCGAAGTTGCTTACTTTCTTTTTCTCTCAAAAAAGCCGCTACAACAAAAGTGCTGGTCGCGGAGGCTGCAGACACCAAAACCCATCCCCCACTCCGGCGCCGTCCAGACAGTTCTGTCGCCGGTTAGAGAGTCGCACTGGGACTCCGAGGCTTAAGGGAGGGCCAGAAGGGAGCCTCGCCGACTCCCAGGCAAGGATCTCACTATTTATACGCGGTTGGCAGGGCGTGAAAAGCCACTGGGTGTCAGGGCCAAAGACACGGGCCCGGCGGTGGGCTTGGAGTGAGAGTTGCCGAGTTTCTCCTCTAGTAGACCGCGTCTGCTACACTGAACCCCACTCCTAAGGTGACTGTAGGCGCCTAGCTCTCCCCTGTCCCCATCAGAGCTAGAAAAGAGAACACTTCTTACCAAGTAGCAATTGCATTTATAAAGAGAGCCTGACCTGTGCAGAAAAAGCTACCGTTTTCCATTTTGCCAGAGGTGGAGGAATCAAGATCACACCTGTGCTAACTGTTTTCTTTGAGCAGGTAATCGAAAGGGGGCCCTGGAGGGGTTCCTGAGGGTTGATCCCAGCTCCCGGGGGGGATTTTGTAGTCGAGTATTAACACGCAAGACACCTCCGCGGAAAACCGAGAAGGCTTGCGGAGTGGAAACAGCTGGAGGCGAGAGGCCTGGTCCTCGGGCAGGAGGAGGGACCAGCACGGATGCCAGCCTCGGCCTCTTTGCCACTTGAATTTCAGGGCAGGACCGTTTTGCAGGGATCTTTGTCCTTGATCATCGCGCCTGTAGGTGAGGCGCGCAGCTCCCACGAAGCTGCTGAGGGCCACTCTCCCCGCCAGTTTGCTTGAGTTTGAAAAGAAAAAAGCCTCTGGGAAAGCGATCTGGGGAAATAGCGCGGCTGCTTCACAGGTCGCGTCCTGTCTGGGGGCCCGCTGACGCTGTGCCTGGCTCATTCCCTATTTGCCGAGTAGACGCTGGAGCCAGGGTTAACCAGGGGCTTTCGGTGTGGGGTCGACTCGCGGTTGTCAGTCAGGTGGGGAGTGGCTCCCCCGTCTCGGCGGGGTGGCAGCTCCCGGGGACTGTCGGAAGAGTCAGGCGCATGGTTTCCTGCGGCGCACACCTAGCGGAGCGAAATGACAGCAGGGATTACCAGCTGATGGCCAGGGACCTCGTGCTGAGTTTGGCGCTCGCAGGACCCAGCTCGCTTGCCCCGATGGTCCGCGGCCGCCGGAGTGAGGGCCGTCTCATTCCGACTCATCCTGGGGGTCTACACCGCAAAGTCCTTCTGCAGGATTGTTGAGCTCTGCCCTCCCGAGGGCCGGGGCGCGGCACACTCCCAGGGGCTCCGGGAGGAGCGGCGACCACGGTCGCGTGGTGGGATCCCGCCACCGCCCGGCCCCTTTGCCCCTCCCCCTGGCCTCCTCCCCGCACCCCCGGGCCCCGCGATGTGGTCACCGCCCGAGGAGCGCTGGGTCCCAGCCAGGCTCGCCCGGGGGCGGGATGCGCACGTGCGCCCAGTGGGCCCCCCCACCCCCGACCTTCCCGGCGGGAGGGCGGCGTCCGGGGACAGAGGAGGGCCGCGTCGCCCGCCGCCTTGCACCGCCTTCCCTTCCAGCTCGTTCCTCTGGATTCCCCCCGCCTTCCGGGTTCAGGGAGGCTAACCTGTGTGTGTGTGTGAGTGTGTGTGGAAGGGTGCGCGCGGGGTGGGCCGTATCATGTTAGCTCCTGTGGCTCCCCACTCCCCGGAGGAGGAAGGGGAAGGACTTGGACCTCGGACCTAGCCCCCTGCCTGGATGAGAGCAGAGCTCCTGGCAGGACCAGAGCTCTGACCCTCGACTGACCCCTCACTGGTCGGTGAGGAAAGACAACCCACTTCCGAGGGCTAATGCGCCTTCTAGTCTTTGTACTTGACTTGCAGGACGAAAGGCGGCTGGGTGGGTGTCGCCTGATTCGGGCATGCAATTCTCTTCTATAGGAAGTGGATGTTTTCAAGGTTATTGGAGGGTTTTCAGGTCCGCCTGCTCCCAAGGTGCTACTAAATCAAATATTCAGGTTTCCCTAATATCCTGGGCATGGAAGAGTGCAGTGATCCGCTTGCCATTAGAATCGATTTTTACGTTTTAGCCGTCTATTTTTATATCTGGCTAAGGCAGCCTTCAAAGCCAAGGATTTGCAGAAGCTCATGCATTTCTCTTTAAAACCACTCCTCCAACATCATTTCAATGGACTGTTGAAATGTTTCTGCACATGGATGCCCTAGTCTCTTCACCTAAGGATGGATGCTAAAAATTAACTGCCATTGTGTTTAATTCGATGTTTGAGTTCTTTCTTTTTCTGTAAAAGAAATTTACAGAGAAATGATAAGTGAAATCAGGCCTCTTTTACACAGGTTAGGTGGCTCTTAAGTGTTTAAAGCAGAACAAAACTGTAGTATAATATAATATAATATGATGTCATATATCACATGATATGATATATATGATATGATATAATATGTTGTTTATCATCCAAAGTGGAAATCCAGTGGCAGGTTTTCCTACATCAATAGAGACTGAAAATTTTAAAGATCTCCAAAATTGTCTATGAGTACTTGGGTAGCCACCCTGATTTTTTTTTCTTTAAACCTTACATGAAAGAGAACCTAGACAAACCCTTCCATAATATTATGCAATCTTTAATAATTATAATAGTATCTGGTCACTGTTGAGCACTTCAGAAATATTTTTACCTTTATTTTCTTTTGGCTTGACTCTACTGTCCCACCCAACTTTAAGTATATGGTTTGAGTCCATTCCTGGGTTGGGAACCAGTTAGCATATTTTTATTCACACGCTGCTGACCATTCATTTCATCTTGCCTGCTGTTGCTTGGAGTCTCCTAATGTCTTTCCTGGAAGAGCTGACTTAATGTTATTTTACGGGGAGGAGAGGGGAGCCTGGCTTGGACAGAACAGATTGGTCCAGGAGGGGAAGAGTCACAAGGCATCGCGAGTTTATGCTTCCCCTAAATGAGGTGACTAGAGCCGAACAGGAGACTGTGTAGATTATGAAAAGAATCAGCCAACCAGCTAGTGCTCTGAGGGCAAGTCACACTTGGATAATATTGCAAATCCACCAAGAATCTCTAAAATTCCCTTTAGAGAGAGCTGGATTAAAATGAGCAAAACTTTGGAGTCACTTTTGGAATATGTACGAGTATGGCTATATCTAAACGTAATTTCCTCTCTATTGTGTAATGTATTTACCCCTGTAACGCGTGTCATTTTGTAAGAACACTTACACGTACTCCAAGAATTACCAATGAGCAGGGCCTAGAGTCTCCCCGGCCTCTGCTGTAGCTATCAGAGATAGGCGGTCTCAGCTGCTGAAGGATGCATTGGCAGCTTTAATATCGCTTTCTTTTCCATCACACCTTCTCAGCCTTAGATAGGTGTATACTATTTATCACTTTCAGAAAGGACAAGAGTGCTAGGGAAAAGGATTGGGAATTTATAGCTTAAATCTAAAATAAAATATTTTGTAAACAGACAGGCAAGATCATTTTGTCACTTGGGCAGTAAAAGCTGGAGCCATGTGTCCACCTCATAGTTTGTCACTGGGTCTGTCCCCCTACAGGCCATGTGTGCCTGCTCATCATTCGGGGAGGAGGGTGCAGTGACTCGGCAATTTAAGAGACCTCCATTCACATCCTGGCTCTGATTGCAGAGTTGGTTTGGCTTGTTTGCTTCTCTTCCTGCACATTGGAGATATTAATACCTCCTTCCTACACACCTTGGGTAATGCCTGACACACAGCAGGTACTCTTAAAGGGAGGGATTATGACTGCTTTTGTGAGTATAGTGGCAGGAAGGCTTGAGGAAAGTCTGTGTAGAAGTTAACAGGCTAGCAGGTGGTGACATGAGTCATAAGGAGCCTGAGTTGAGTAGATGGGATTCGTATGAAAGCAGTTTAGTACTGAAATCTAGAGCTGAATTATGCGATTGAAAGTTGGTTTGTGTGTGGCAGGAGGATTTTTAATGATCAGGATTTTTCTCGACATTTTATTCAATATTCTATGTATCTGCATTGCATTCTAATTAAATAATAGATTCTCCCTAGAACTATACTGACAATGTTTACTTTTGTCTTCCTGATGCTATGCCATCATTTTCATAGTCTTTAATATGATCTTATTTTTCACTTTCTCTGTGTTTATTACATGGATATTTCCCTTTCAGATCCTATGCTACTACCAGTTAATTGTTTATAACGTTGCATAGTTACAGTATAATATTATAATTTTTTCCATAAATGTCCAGGAGAACTTAGAATAATGTAAGTGTAGCTGCATATTTAAGAATGGCTTCCTCAGTGTTCACTCGGCACTTTGCTTCATATAATCACGGACTTTTAAATTTTTTTATTGAAGTAGAGTTGATTTACAATATTGTGCCAATCTCTGCTGTGCAGCAAAGTGACTCAGTTTTACACATATAGACATTCTTTTTTTAAATATCCT